TCCCGGTAGCTGTGGTCCGCAGTGTTATATAGCTCAGAATGAGCACCGACCTGAGCTATTGACGTGTTCTCCATAGCTGTCATCTACTAGTGTTTTTCCGGTAGTGAAATGCGTCACTACGTCACTGTAGGAGAAAGCTCCTGATTGGTCGGCACACGCGAATTCTCCCAAAAAGTTCAACATTGTTCAACTCTAGCGGCGGCCGCGTTGGAGGCACGAATCGCGCGAAACGCGCGTCAAAACGCTTGACATCTCAAAACGCTTGACATCTCAAAACACGCCGCGCGAATCGCGCGAAACGCTCGAATTCGCGCCGCGTGATCTCTCGCCGCTCCTTGGCGCGCGTCCCCCATGTTGTGTCAATGTAGACCCGCCGCTTTGGCCGCAGAAATCGCGTTTGGTCTGAACGCACCATAAGACCAGAGAGAGACCGGTGAGAGACCAGAGAGACACAAGGGAAAGAGCAGAGAGGAGAGACCAGAGAGCCTCACTGACAAAAGGAAAACAAGTAGATGTTAAGTTTCAAGGCAGCTTCATTAACAACAGTTTGTACTCCTCCTCTTTTTAATAAGAGAGATACATTTCCTTAAGTCAGATCTCCACAAAGCAAGAAACAACATGTCACCATTTAATTATTGTAGATCGTTACTGACGCCAACAACAGTACTGATAATAAACCTGTTACGCTCAGAGAAGAGAAATCACCGCTCTCCGGATGTCATTGCCATCCTTTGTACAATAGTAATCAGAAAGCCCTTTTGCAGTATTACAGAGTAAAGTAGTTATAAAAAATCTGGGATGTAGAGTGGGCCTGTTGAAGACCGCAGTAACTTCTCCCTAAACAAACCCCGCCCAGTGCCCTGTCAGCTGCTTTTGTATGTGGACTCTCTATCTTCGTGTTGCATTAAAAGACGAGGTGATCCCTGATGTCAAATGACCCCCACTTTGGGAATCACAGATGGAGATTGTGGTCTTCAACAGAAAGATAAGAGACCCCACATTAACTTCATCTCAAAAAAATCATTTTTCCACCTCCGCAACATCACTCGGCTCCTCCCCTCCCTCTCTCAATCCACTGCTGAAATACTGGTTCATGCCTTCATCACCTCCAGACTGGACTACTGCAACAGCCTCCTCTTCGGTCTCCCTTCCACTCATCTTCAAAAACTAGAATACATCCAGAACTCCGCCGCCCGCCTTCTCACCCACACCCGCTCCAGAGATCACATCACCCCCGTCCTCAAACAACTCCTCTGGCTTCCTGTTCCATACCGCATCCAATACAAGGTCCTCCTCCTCACCTAAAAATCCCTCCATAACCTGGCCCCCTCTTTCCTCACAGAGCTGCTCCACCATCACTGTCCCTCCCGCCGCCTTAGATCTAGAGACTCCAACCTCCTCACTCCCATCTAGGGATATAAAAAACTATGAATTTTCATGACCGACCACTGAGCCTCATTAACCGGTTGAAACCGGTTAACCGCGTAGTTTAAAATAGTCCACGTTCTTTGAAATAACAGCCATTTCGAGCTGCGTACTTTTCATAAGTGCAGCTGAGCATTCTAATGGATCAGAGCGGAGACAGCGGCACCAAAACCCGCAACAGCTTGGGCACCTTTGCGCACAGAGAACTGCTGTTTTAATCTTCCCATTCTTCTGTGCTGCGGCTTAAAGCATTTTTAAGCAAAAGACAGCTCGTCCACATGGTCAGGGCAGCGAGTGACGAGCCGCGTCTCGCAGGTCTCCGCTAAAGTTTAAAAGTGATCAGTGTGGAGCTGATGCCAAGGACCAGCAGCACAAACATGGTCCATGTGGTTTGACTGGAGCCGTGTATTTGCAAGAATGCTTTGGGCTCCGTGACACAGAGGAGCGCGACAGACCGGTATGTGTGTGTGTACAATACATGTATGTATGTGTGTATATGTCTGTGTGTGTGTATATGTAAGCTATGTGTGTGTGTGCAATACATGTATGTATGTGTGTGTAAATATAAGCTCCAATGTAGTTCTGACCCGCACCAGTGTGCAACTAGCAGGCGGTAACAGAGGGGAGAGATGATGCGTGTGGATGTTACGTGTCAATGGAGGGGAGGGGGGGGGCAAATAGGGATTAAAATAGCGTTATGAAGAGACCTCCCCTCTCCCCCTTTTCTCTTTTTTAACCGACAGCTTTGACCGGTTAACGCTGTGACGGTCAACCACCGGTTAAACGGTCACCGATTTACATCCCTACTCCCATCAGGACTAAATACCGAACCTTGGGGGACCGAGCCTTCGCTGCAGCCGCCCCCACTCTCTAGAACTCACTCCCTCAACCAATCAGAAACTCAGACTCACAACAGAACTTTAATCTCTTCTCAAAACCCACCTGTTTCAGCTTGCCTTTCCTTAACATTGTTTTTCAATGTTTATTTCTATGTGTTTTGTAAAGCGTCTTTGAGTGTCCAAAAAAGCGCTATATACGTTTGATGCATTATTATTATTATTATGGAAACCACTTGTAAGGGGCGACATTAGCTCAGTTGGTAGAGCATTTGCCTTTAGGCCTGAAGGACGTGGGTTCAATTCCAACCTCAACACCTTCTCCACCAACTCCCACTGCTGCCGTTGTGTCCTTGGGCAAGACACTTAACCCCACTTTGCCCAAAAGCCCCGGCTGAAAGATTAAGGCTATGCTCACACTCACAGAGCAGCCGTGCTTCTGTGGACTCACCACCTGCAGAGGGTCAGTGAGGGGCTGGTGCTATGAGACTTGGGTACAGCTCTGACTGCCACCCCCCTGACCCAGAAATGGATTAAGGGGTAGAAAATGGATGGATGGATAGATGAATATAAAATCATAAAATCTAGATGCAACTGGTGAAACTTTTTTTTCTGCAATGTATTGAGAACATATGATCTTTACAAATGCTAATGATGTCTTTCTAGATCAGGGCAGAAACCAACATAGTGAAGATGTGAGTGGCAGAAGCAGTGTCTGCGTGTGAAGGCTCCGGCTCAGTTGTTATATTCATGATGCTGCAGGAAGCACAGACAGAGAGATGCTTCAGTGTGAGCTACTTCAGAGGCTTTATTAAAACATACTTCATACTGGCTCCAGTTTAAGTAGATTGTTCACATCCCGATGGAGGAGAGCGCCATAAATCACACTTCCAGAACGGAGCATCCTCGCTGCATATATTATCCTAATGTTTTTATGCCCCCATTTTTGCATTTTTATAACATTTTGGCAGATTCAACTTGAGATATCTATGAGACAATATGGATGTGTCTCGCTGTCGTCCAAAGTCTTCAAATGTGTCTGAAAAGGTGATCCGATGTTCATTAGGAGTATATAAAAAAGGGCTTTATAATGAGTAAACACTGCCCTCGAATCTTTCCAGCCTTTTGCTTTCTGTTTGTAAAACTACACATTATCTGTCTCGATCTGATCAAATCAAAACCAATTCACCTCAACTTAGTAGATATTGTTTTAGCCTAACATCTGCAGACTGATGCTGGCTCGAGGCGGCAAAGTAGCAGAAGTGCTCCAAAATCCAGGACACTTTCTATACAGCAACTTGGCTTCCTACAATTGTGTTCCAACATTTTTCTTACATAATTAACTTCTATGTATTTCTGTTATTGATTGAAGCAGTCCACTATCTCAGACTATTTCTTATGTATTTTTATTTCTAATGTATTGAATATTTCACAAGATTACACAAAAAACACTGGTTCTAAAAGGGTTAAAGCTAAGGCTCAGAGTTTTAGACAAAAAAGAGAGAAAGAGAGAACCCCTTTCCCTTATCCAGTCACCAGCCAAGTCTGCAAAATGTATTATGCTGTTAATCCTAAAACAGCAGCAAGTGGTATGATTTGTTTATTCTTTCTACTGAGACAAATGACGTTCGATTCAACTCAATTTATTTTTTGTATAGCCCCAAATCACAACAGTAGTTATTTAGATGTCAAGAAACAAAAAGCGTTGGTTCCCTGAGCTTTGACTAGCCGAATGAGGCCAATTCAAGAAATATAGATACAAATAAAATAGCTGTTGCTTTCTATGGTTATTGCATGGTCCTTGATAGTGAAAAACATGAAGGATCCATGTATGTTTAATAACCTGAATCTACAGTCAATGTAAGCTGCAAAGTACTGCATTAAAGAGGTGGAGATGGTTGCAAATAATGTCAAACTTAGGGCACACTAATCTAAGAGCAAATTCACACTTGTTTATCTGGTTCAGGCTTCACAGATCTGCAAACACAGGTTCCCAAATTTGATGGTTTTAATTCCATAAATAAAAAAATATATTTTCTCAAAGGGAATCAGAATAGGCAGTTAAAGTGAACCAAACCAATACGTGGACACGCCCTAAGTTGCAGTAACAGAGAGAGAAATTCAAGGCAAGGCAAGTTTATTTGATTAGCACAGTTCATACACATGGCAACTCAAAGTGCTTAAAACAACAAGATAGAAAAAAATCACACATGGCATTAATCCAGAGTCTGGTTAGTCGCCAAGGAGACCAATTTCTGGTCGATTGAGAAAATGTACAGGGACATTGCTCACGGTGAATATAGAAGTCTCCCTTGTCTTGCCATCATAGACTTTGTATAGATAGACAATGCTAACCCGTAAGCTCAATGAAGCCCAATAGAGAAGTGCTCATGGACAAAGTTTTACTCCAACTCGCTCTGGTTCCTGTTGACCTACATTGAAAAGTAAACTCCTCTTGCTCAATAGCCGCTTGTATCGCCTTCCTTCGTTGAGGGAAACTCATGCTTGCCTTAGCAACCATCTTAGTAACAGCAGCTTGCATCCGCCCCTGCTATGGCGCATACTCCGCATAGGTCACCCCCATCGTCACAAATGCCCATATTAGAAAATTGGCTCTACCTAGCTCAAACCGACTTGTTCCCCTTTCTGCAAACACGATGGGTGACGTCAATCTACGGTCTATGTTTTTTTATTATGTATTTGTTTTGCATTTACAAAACAACCAAATCAGCGTCTCACCTCCACAGAGAACTCTCGGTGACGGCCCCCAGGTTGAAGTCGTAAAGCTTGGTCAGGATGAGGATCACCTGTGGAACAAAACAGCACACAAACACACACAATTAAGATAAGATACAATACACTTTATTGATCTCACAATGGAGAAATTTGCAGGTCACATGTGGCATAAAAAGGATCACTCAGGCTCATCACTCGCAGACAGGAAATGTGCAGAAGTGAAAAGATCTCTTTTGTGCAAGATATGTTATGTACAATGAAAATAAAAGTGACTATAGAATTTACAGTCCTAGTGCAGGTCATTAAGTGACTTATTGTACATTCTGACAGCGGTGGGGATGAAGGCTCCTTCTTGCACTGAGGCGATGGCGGCTTTGACCCATCCTTCAAAGTGGCCATGGCCTCAGGGGCAGGGGTCGGTGTAGTACAGCGCTGGGGGCCAATCTCCAGATGTTGATGCTGTGTCACGACCAGAACTGGACAATATTTGCCTCTTGTACATGTTTTTAGTGGTAGGGAAACCGGACCACCCACTCAAAAAGGCCCTGTTCCAACCTGGATTCGAATAAGAATACTGAGAAGCAAGAGCACTATCCTCTTAGCCACCGTGTCTCAATGAAATCAGACTTTTCCTTTTACCCTTCAAATGTGCAGCTATATACTTCTATCCACCGCACGCACCCCCCTTCCATTAATAAATATGAGCCTACTGAGCATCCAATGACAAGGGCTGCTCATGTTGTCAGCCGGTGTCAGGGAGGCTTTGGAAACACCCGTGAATCTCGTGTGGAATGATGGCTACATGACAGACCGAATCTCCACGTAATTGTTCACTGAGCAATAAGCAAAAACGTAGCCTTTGCACTTCTCCCCCTGTCAGGCCCCGCGTCTCATCTGCAGCGCTTTTGTCTTAAGAATAAAGAGCTCACCAAAACAAAAATAAAACATGAAAGCAAGGTTTGACGGCGGAGTCGGTATAAAAGGTATATTCTGATTGCGATTGCTTTTGGACATGTGGAGATATAGCATGTTGATGGCCAGTTGAATTATGCATTATACCATTAGACAATCCTTTATGGTTCTATATCCCCCTCACATAAGACTGTTATAGATCATTTTGAAAAGTTTGAAGAAACCACTTCAAACACATTGCTGGTTCTCTGTATTTAACATTTCTGCTTCTGTGTTCATGGAAAAAGTATTGTTATAACTGGAACATATTTTTGTTCAGGTAGAAGCAGATCTTACCTGGGAAGTTTATTTAGAGATTGGCATCTTCTGATCACAAATTTCATTTCCTTTTTCAGTCCAGATTGATGTGATTTACAGGTACAAAATGAATCAGGAAGACATATCAACCTGCGTCTGTATCAAAAAATATTGCTACTTGCAAGTAATAGTTGTGTGTCACCCCCTGCATGTAAACACCAGCTCCTGTTTGACCTCTGAAGCTAAGCAGGGCGGGGGCTAGTTAGTGCTGTGATGGGGAAACCTCTGGGAACACAGAGGAGTGAGGCTACATAGTTCCAAACCTTTATTGTATCCTTAATGTAACCCCTGACTCACGTTAAGAAGGTGAGGCAAAAATTAAAAGTATCGATGGCAGGAGGCAACGATGGAACAAATAATACAAAGTGTTATTTAGTGACCAAATAATAATAAAGCAGTTCAATATAAACAGTATTTAACAATAAGCATAATCAATAAGCATACATCAATTGTCTTCAGTTCTTTTGCCTTTTAAGTGGTATTTTAAGGTGGTACTACTCAGCACTGTAGGAAAGAAGGTGGTTCTTTAAGTTCAATCCAGTTCTTGGCGCAGGCTTTAAAATCCAGGATTTTCTTTACCATGTAATACTAGCCTGCACAACAATAATTTTATTATTGTTTACAGCTGTTAATTTGATCTTTTATCTTATTAACACATTACAAAATATACAATATTATCTTACGTGCATGTCTTTAACTCAAATTTCCTTTGTAAAACATGAAAGTTTTTAATCCTTGTAAAACATAAAATTGATCTTTTCATCCTTTTGTTATCAATTATTCAACAATAAGAGTATGATTAAATTTGTTTAATCAATTAGCATTTTTGTTTTAACTTAATTTTAACTTTTTGTAACTCATAAAATGAATTAGACTGATAAATTCCGATATCCTCCTTCAAAATATACAAATCAATCAGTATTATCTGTGCTACTGGGTTTAGCATTGCAAAAGAGATACTGTACACTTCAACTTCAAAAATAATTACATTGGATATCTAAACCCAATAAAGCTTTTTCAATGCTTTCAAATAATAAAAGGCCACTCGCGATTAGCATTAGCACCGCGCTAGCATGTTTCTTACCCCTCACAAGCCGTGGACTTACCAAGACGAGGAATAATGTGGAACACAGCTAGGGCACAACAACACAGCCTCTCCAGATTCTGCTCCTTATAGATCTATGTTCTGCTCCCTCCACTGGGTTACATTCGGGTTACATTAGTCAGACACTTCTCCCACATTGCTTAGAACAGGAGTCTCCAACCTGTAAATCAAAAGCAACCAGTAGCTTGCCAGCCTTTTTCTGGTCCCCACAGGATTTAGAATGAATACATTTTGAGTCATTACATATGTATTATAAGTATACATATAGGGTTGCACAGTGTATTGGTATATTTGAAATGTTATGTTTGACATATTACATAGAATTTGATTACAACTGCAAAAACAAGTAGCTCTCTGCCTCTTCTGTTGCATAAAAGTAGCTCTCTGATTGAAAACGGTTGGAGACCCTTAATTGGCTTAGAAATGCTCTGTTGTGTGCGTGAAGGGTTGGTGGTCGTCAAAGGGACCAATGGCACATACAACCTGTGAATGGACACAGGAAGACATAAAGACATGTGAAGAGTATGTGATTGTCCAAAAAAGAACTATATTGAAGCTGGTAGGTTTCCTCCAGGTGCTCCGGTTTCCCCTACCACTAAAAATATGTACAAATGGTCTTGCATGCGCCTCCTGTATGACCCCGCTTCCATCTTTGTGTGGAGTAAGATGCCCACAACAATTGACGACTAACTTACTTACTTTAAGCACAAATGTCAAATGAATCTCTTAAAACGTGATGGATTAGCATGTCTGAAGAGCTGCATAGAAGTTGAGTTCTTAATTCAGTTCTTAATCAGTTGAGTTCTTAATGTTGTCTTTATACAACACAGCCTACGCAGGACAAGAGGAGAACATGTCATCTCCATGTTTCTGGAAGAGAAAGAAAGGCTGCCATCCCAGTACCGAGGGCCGTCTTTCTGAGAGGTGAGGGCGCTGATCCACCGTACCACACCATCTGCTTTTGAAGAAATGCAAATACGTTATGCAACATGTCACACGGATTCTACAGCTGGCCTCCCTGATCCAGAGGTCTGTTGATCTGTTGAGTGACCTTAGCCTTGTCCTAATCCATGGCTATTGTTATTATAATGTGCTATTTGGAAACTCAAAGATGCTTTACATTATTCATTCTCACCATACACTGCTGTAGCCATAGATGCCCTGGGGCAGACTGAAAGCAGAAGCAAGTTCTGGTTTTGTTTTAAGGTGATATTCATTTTATCTTTACTCTTTTTAATGCACTGAGGCTATTATGATTTGAATGTTTAAGGTTTTGAATTACATGTGTTATTTTATTTTCTACGTTTTTAATATTCTTTGTGATTTCTTGTTTGTTTTTAATTACATTTTTTAATCAAGTTTTTTATGTTTATGTAGATTTTAATGTTTGATGCCTGATCTATCTACCTATCTACCTATATATCTACATACCTATCTAACACTCTATCTACCAGCAACCATGTGACAGTAAAAATATCTGCAGTGACTATAGTCTGAAGAGTCTATAGTCTAAACTACTATAGTCTAAAAACACGATACATAACAAGTGCATTCTGTTGTGCTCGTGTCTATAGAACCCAACATTGAAACCTCTTTTTGCATTCATCAGACAACAACCGGCAGTCATTCTTGTTGAAGTAGACGATATATATTCCCAGACAGGAAGTGGTCCTGCGAGGCTCTGCTTTGAGGGTGGTTGGACAATGTCTTACTGGAGGAACAAAACGGTGGCCCATAAAAAGCGTAGGGCAGAGTGAAATGGTGTGCAAACGCATTATTGTCACTCCAATGGCATTATAAACGACTTCCCAGGGGTGTGCTCATAACTCAGGGGGACAGAGGAGACGGGCGGGGGCTCTGGGCTTTGCGACTGCACAACGCAAGAGTAGATAATAATAATCAGAGAGCAGAAACATGGCTTAATATGACAAATTTCTGAAAGGCTGAAAGATAGGTCGAAAGCTCAATTACAGTGAGTTTAAACACATTAACCTTAGGGGACCCAGCGAACGACTCATTAAACTCAGAGACGGCGCGCACGACTGGGAGGAACAAAGAAGCGTCTCGGAGTCTGCTCGGAAAATGTTAAAAACCCAATTGACCCGCGATTTAGCCATCAAACGGCCAGCGCGCAGCAGGGACTATCTGCATTACAGGTTAATTAACCAATCACACAGACAGATAAGCATTTGCATAACTAAATGCACCATGTCTGCGAGGTCCAGCGCTGGAGTCTGAATCAATTTGGGCGACAGACTTAGTTAAATGACTGTGATGTTTGGCCTAATTGCCTTATTTGGAAAAGTAGATAGGAGAGAAAAACTCGGGCTAGTGTTGGTCGCCTGACAACAAAGGCGCGACAATGAACTTGGAGAATACGGTGGAGTTTATCGGTCCAACTCGAGCATGAAAAATATATTCCGTGAAACACATTTGACAAACTTACATTCAACATAAGGCCCTCAGGAGAGATCTGGCCCTCCAAACTTTTCATCAATCAATCAACCAACACTATATATATCCCCGAGGGACGATTAAAAGGCACGGAGCAAAGTCGAGGAAGGATTTTATCTTTCCTCTTTTTAATGCACTGTGGCTATTTGTGATTTTAAGCATGTGGGATTTTAACATTAAGGTTTTTTACTTGTGTGATTTTCATTTCTAAAATATATTACTATTATTATTGTTTTAATTGCTATTATTAATAATAGTGGTGGGATTGTGAAAAATAATAATAATCATAATGAATGGAAAGTTTATATTATCTGGTTTGTGCTATTTTTTTTGCATTTTTCATGCGGGTTAGGCTGTCTGATTTGTAGATTTTTTTTCTACATCCTATACTCATGCAATTTTTTCATGAAATGTATTAATGTTGTGAAATGTTGTTGCATTACCCTGAAAAAAATTAAATAGCAAAAAGGGACAAAGTTTTTAATATTTCTTGCGATTATATTAATTTTTTTTTTTATGTTTATGTAGAAATGGGCCTGATGTGATTTGGGTAGTGAGGCGGTTTGTGTTAATTTGTGTAGGAAAGTTGATTGATCGATTGATAGATAGCGTTACAGGTATAAAACATAATCACAATACAAATATTCATACAGGCCAAATGTTTTTGTTTTTTGTTAACAATCTATTTTCCATCTGTCTGACTTTTAAGTATTTATTCATGACTTAATTTTTATGGTTTTATTTTAACAATAAACCTGTTTTTTTCACCGGCTGCCCAAGGAATAGTGTATAATGTCAATGTATAATTTAAATAGCCTGCCTCTCAATCAAGATCATTCATTCAGTCCATTCAGGAAGAATTGGCCATAACCAGAGCCCTCTCCCAAATTCTGAAAATAACATTCAATCGAAGCCTTTCAGATTTTAGATGCTGTTTCACAATTGCCAGTAAAGGGACAGTATGTAATATTAATATCTTTTTTTTTTTTCATATATCAAATCTTTCATGTGTGTCCTAAGATACAGGTCACATGTACAAATCATATTGCAATTTTTCTGAATGAAGATTTAAAGAAGAATTAGGCATCAATAAAAATATTATGAATACAATGTGCGTAATATATGTTTACAGTTTTCAGATCCCAGTCGGAAACAGGGCCTTTCTGAGTGGAGTTTGCATGTTCTCCCCGTGTCTGCGTAGGTTTCCTCCGTGTACTCCGGTTTCCCCTACCACTAAAAACATGTACAATAGGTCTGGCTTGCGCCTCCTGTACTGGTGACCCCGCTCCCATGTCTGTGTGGAGTGAGCGACAAATGCCCAAAAATAACAATTGTAAACCGCTTTGTGACTCTGGTCTGGGAAAGGCGGTATATAAATCAAGATTACTTATTTACATACTTAGAGAAAAATGAGGATCTTTTTGGGGTTACCATTTTGTTGTTGAATTTAGCTGATTTTGGCTCTTTTTTAATGCAAAATTCAGTAACAAAGAATAGCACCACCAACACATCATAAATGAATACACTGAGTTTGTACCAATTCCGATGCTAAACCCCAGCAGGTGGATTACATCAGCGCCTAGGAGCTACATGTTCAAGTAGAAAGATGAGATTCTGGCAACAACAGATTGTATTTGTACCGTTACAATGACACCAAACTGTGTCACTGAAGTCAGTCGCCTGCTCCAGTCCCTTCAACACGTTGGATCTTTGGAGATAAAAAAAAAGTAGAAATTGTCATGGTGAGGATTTTATGAATCTGGTCATTTCAGTTCTCTTGTGATATAATTTCAGTTTTACTTCTTGTTCTGCTGATCGTGTGCCCCGCCCCCATGTGTTTCACCCGTGTCTCAAAGTACTCCACTGATTCCCTCTGTTCCAATCTTGGTTCCTTATGTGTTTTTTAGTTTTTGTATGGCCTTAATTATTTTTTGTATTTACTTATTTGCAGCTGTATCGAGTTTGTTCCTTTTAAATCATGACAACAATAGTTATATATCAGTAGTTATTTATCAAATATACCAACATATTTGACAAACATTTGTTGTCATTGGTGTTCTTATGTTTCTCGCCCTATTCCTTCAATGACAGTAAAAAATAAAAATGAACAAAATCTCAGTCGTGTCTGTA